CATAAGAGACTCTTAAAAACTGAGAACAAACTGAGGGTAGATGGGGGGTGAGAGGGAGGGGAGGGTGGGTGATGGGTATTGAGGAGGGCACCTTTTGGGATGAGCACTAGGTGTTGTATGGAAACCAATTTGACAATAAATTTCATGTTAAAAAAAATAAAAATAAAAGTTTGTGGTTGAAAATGAATTTATTTTCATAATTGTGAGTTACTTTTGTATCAACATCCAATATTACCAATAATATCTTTTATTATTTTTTGTAATGCTTAAAATTGTGGCTATTTTGTTTCAAACCTTTAACTTTCTTCCCTGTAAAGGACCTTTGCACAAAATTGTAGGAACATTGAAGTACTGAATCTAAATGGGTGTACGAAGACTACAGATGCGTAAGTATTTTATGTGTTAGAGGGGTGAATCATAGCCCCTTGTTTCCTGCCTATGCTAGCTTTAAATGTGGGCTATTAAATATATTTAGCAAATTTCATTTTGACCTTACAGAGGAAAGATATTTTGAAAGGAGAAAACATTAAAATAGAAATGGCATAAGAAACTAGTTTTGGAATCTGACCCAAATCCTATCTTGATATTTAAAGTGAAACTTAAAAATTGGAGTCCGTGTGTATGCAGTAGGGATACTAATACTAGAAATTACTAGGACTACTTATGTTTCAAGAAGATACTAGTAGCTTTCATTCAAAAGGCAGAGTAAACCAGTAATTCTGTAAAAAGATAGAAAATCTTAAATACATATGAAACAACTTGTGATCATCGATACTGAGAGCACACCCTTTAAATGTGCTATGTCTGTGTCAGGTACAGTATAAATGGAATAAAACAGTTGTTCATCCTTGAGAGCTTACTGTCACAGACCTAATAGATGTGGAAGGTAGACATAAAAAACATTCAGCCCCTGCCCTGCCCTGCCCAATTCAGTCCCAGGTTATCTATTGGTGATGATATGTATCAAATAACATTTAAATATTATATAGGGAAATTGTTGCCTGTTATGAGATGAAGTGAAGCCATTGAGGAAACATGTTTATACAGGGAGGGGGGCCAGGATTATTTAGTGAATGTTCCTATTCGGAAAGGCCTCATGAAAGAGATGGGATCTTTAGAATTGAAACAGAGGGTACAGATTGTTTATTTCAGTACTTTCTTTGAGGTCACAACATTATTAACTTTTACTAAAAAAAAAATGTCTGAAAGACAAAAATTATGGTTATTCTACTGTGGTTATTCTAACAAGTATTATTTCTGTGGATTGATTTGACCTTTAACATGAGTAACATATCTAACTCCTCCCCCAACCATGACTTTATACCAGTAGCCCTCCATTTACTTAGATAAATTACCTGTTTATTTTTTTCTTTTGAATACTTAATATTACAGAGATTAAAATTTTGGCTACTTTGGTAAAAATAAAAGTGACATATAATTTACACTAAGAGTAATTTTCTAAGAATCTATTCTATATACCAAAGATAAACTGACAAAAATGTAGTACAATTTATGTGCAAAGCTATTCATTTTTACCGTTTGTAATAACAAATACTACATTATTTTCAATAGCAAAATATGGGAAAGAACCCAAATATCAATCAGTAGAGGACTGTTAAAGGAATGAGGAGAGTATATAGTATTCTGGAATGATCTGTAGGACATACTGTTTAAATTAAGGAAGCAAACTGCAGAGGAGTTTGTATAAGATACTTTTTGCAGAGCCAGTAAATACCCATGTTCACTTGTATTTTCAAAAAGAAACAATTTAAAGATTATAAAAATGAGTAAAAATGGTGACCTGTGGGTAAGAGAATAAACACAGAGACAGGGATGAAAGGAAGACTCTGAAGTATCAGGTTTTGTAGTTTTCCTTTAATAGCTATGTAAATGTTTTACATACATAATTAAAATATGAATTAAGTCAAAAAGAAATCAAAGCAGTCCCTAAAAATTCAAACCGAAATAAAATACATGAACCCAATCATATCAAGTTGGAGCTATAACCACAGAGAGAAATTACTTCTACTGACTTTTGATTTCTTTTTTTTAAGGTTTTTTTTTTTTTACACTTGATTTTAGCCTAAAGGCCAAGAAGCAGTAAGTTTTTTGGTTTTTTTTTTTTTTAATGTTTATTTATTTTTGAGAGAGTGCACAAGCTGGGAGGGGCAGAGAAAGAGGGAGACATATGGTCTGTGTGTCGACAGTGGCACTTGAACTCACAAACCGTGAGATGACCTGAGCTGAAGTTGGATGCTTAACTGATTGAGCCACCCAGGCGCCCCTCTTTTTTTTTTTTTTTTTTTTAAGTTTTATTTATTTATTTTGAGAGAGAGACAAAGAGAGCACAGTGGAGAGGGGCAGACAGAGAGAGAATCCCAAGCAGGCTCTACACTCCATGCAGAGCCCAATGCGGGGCTCAAACCCACAAAGTGAACTGTACAATCATGACCTGAGCCAAAATCAAGAGTCAGATAAATGCTTAACCGATTGAGCCACTCCAGTGCCCTGACTTTTATTTCTTATGAAAAGTTTTAAATATATACCAAAGTAGACAAAACAGTGTACTGAACACATCACCCACCTTCAAATTGATAATTGAGAAATTACCACTTGATGGTCAGTCTTGTTTCATCTATATCCCCAAATTTTTCTTACTTTGAAAAAAGTCCTAGACATCATATTATTTTAATCTGTAAGCATATATTTCTAAAAGATAAAAGTTTTTAACATAAGCATGTTAATTTTATCACTCCTATAAAAAAACTTAATATCTTAAAATCATCAAATAACCACTGGCCAGTTCAGATTTTTGCTGCTTCTAGTGACTTCAGAAACACAATATTTTAAGCATCATATATAAAAAAAAAGACACAAACTTTAAAAAGCAAAAATGGAGACTTCTGCTTCTGCCATGACAATAAATGCCCTCCTGCCATAAACAACTGTAAAACTGTACAAAACATATCAAAGAACCAGTTTCAGATGTTGGACAATATGCAGCACAGGACTGAGCAATTAGGTGAGCCCTACGACCACCCTGGCTTTCTGCCTGGTGGTGTTTTCCAGATGATGGTATAAGGAGAAAGAACCCAAACAGAGAACAAGGTTCTGGCTGATTTGAAGAATAAGAGATCAGAGTTCAGGAAGACAAAAGTAGCTGGAATTTTTATCTTAAGATGGGAGAACTACTCAAAAAGGCTACAGAAATCTACATTGGGGCACCTGGGTGGCTCAGTCGGTTGAGGTCCGACTTCGGCTCAGGTCACGATCTCACGGTTCGTGAGTTCGAGCCCCGCGTCGGGCTCTGGGCTGATGGCTCAGAGCCTGGATCCTGCTTCCGATCCTGTGTCTCCCTCTCTCTCTGCCCTTCCCCCATTCATGCTCTGTCTCTCTCTGTCTCAAAAATAAATAAACATTAAAAAAAATTAAAAAAAAGAAATCTACATTGATCTGGCTGAATAGTAAGCTATAAATGGACATATTGAGACCCCACAAAGCTGGGTAGAAAACATCTAAAAGGAAGGAACAATTACCAGGAAACTGTAAACTGAGAAATTGCCAGAGCTTAGGTAAGGCTGAGAGAAGTTCAAAATGAAGAATGTTCATTGAATACCTTGGGGTATTTAATAGAGACTTCAGAAAGGTCACACCTTTGTACTAAAGCTAGACTGGACCTGTCCCAGTAAAGGTTAAAAGAAAAAATTCAGGGTCAAATTGATCCATACCTAATTTAGCTGCCTGCCAAGTTAACATTCTTTTAAAGAAGACAACAAAGCATGGGGTGCCTGGGTAGCTCAGTGGTTAAGTGTCCAGCCCTTGATTTTGGCTCAGGTCATGATCTCATGGTTTTGAGATCAAGCCCTGCATTGGAATGCTCTCTCCCTCTCCTCTCCCTCTGTCTCTCTCAAAATAAATAAACTTTAAAAATAAAGACAACAAAGCCTAGACATTCAGCATGCAGAATTTCCAGCATTCAATGAAAATTACAAGACGTGCAAAAAAGCATGAAATGATACCAGAAGAAAAACCAGTCAATAGTAACAGGTCCAGAAATGACAGAGGTTATAAAATTGACCAATAAAAAGGGTTTAAAAATAGCAAGTACAAACATGCTCAAGAATTTGTGCAAAAACTTAAAGATAATATGGAGATTGAAGTAAAAGGATGAGAGAGGATATACTATTACAATCACTAATCACAGGAAACTTGGAATGGTTAGTAACATGAGATGATGTAAACTTCAGGAAAAGTGTAGATGGAAAAGATACTAGAAAGTAAATGACAAATCAAGTAGACCAAAAAACAGTAAAGCTCTAGAAGACTTGAGCAACACTGTCAATGAACTTGTCCTAATTGACACTTAAACAGAATGCTATACCAGAAAGCATCAGAGTAAGTGTTCTTTTTCAAGTGCACTTAGAATATTTAGTGAGACACACCAAATAATGGACCATAAAAAATTTTTCAGTGAATTTAGGATTGAAATCATAGTGAGTGTAGTGCCATGTCCTCAACAGAATTAAAGTAGAAATGAGTAACATTTCTTGAAATTTTGAAAGTTAAATATTATCCTTCAGAATAACATGGGTCCACAATTTCTTTATCCATTCATCAGTTGATGGACATTTAGGTTTATATACACAATGGAGTACTATGTGGCAATGAGAAAGAATGAAATATGGCCCTTTGTAGCAACGTGGTTGGAACTGGAGAGTGTTACGCTAAGTGAAATAAGCCATACAGAGAAAGACAGATACCATATGTTTCCACTCTTATGTGGATCCTGAGAAACTTAACAGAAGTCCATGGGGGAGGGGAAGAAAAAAAAAAAAAAGAGGTTAGAGTGGGAGAGAGCCAAAGCATAAGAGACTCTTAAAAACTGAGAACAAACTGAGGGTTGATGGGGGGTGGGAGGGAGGGGAGGGTGGGTGATGGGTATTGAGGAGGGCACCTTTTGGGATGAGCACTGGGTGTTGTATGGAAACCAATTTGACAATAAATTTCATATATTGGAAAAAAAAAAAGAGAACATGGGTCTAAGAATAGATTACAAAGAAAACTAGAAAATATGTTTTGCTGTGTGATAATGAAAACAATATTTGAAACTCGTGGGCTATTCCAAAGGCAATACTTTAGAGAAAAATGTAGTTTCAAATGCTTATGTTAGAAAAGAAAGGTTTAAAATAGAGGATCTAGGGGTTCATCGCTGGCTCAGCTGATAGAGCATGTGACTCTTGACCTCGGGGTGGTGAGTTCAAGCCCCACGTTGAGTACAGAGATTACTTTTTAAAAAATTAGATGAGATATCAACAAAATAGGAGACAAAAACAGTACTGAAACCAAAAGCTGGTTTCTTGGGGGGAAAAAAAACCCCAAATTGACAGACTCAGACGAAGAAAATAAAAGAGAAGACCTAGATTATCAAGGAGAGCACTAAATATTGTACCCAAAAGACAGATTAAGACCATCTGAATAGATCAGTAACAAGTAAGTTCAGTGAATAATTGAAAAGAATCCCATAAAGAAAAGCCCAGGCCCAGATGTCTTCACTGGTGAATTCCATCAAATATTTAAAGAAGAGGGGCACCTGGATGGCTCATTTGGTTAAGCATCTGATTCTTGATTTCGGCTTAGGTCATGGTCTCACAGTGGTGAGATCTAGCCCCACGTTGGGTTCCATGCTAATCCTGGAGACTGCTTGGGATTCTCTCTCCCTCTCTCCTTCTCTCCTTCTCCTTCCTCCACCCCCCAAAATAAATAAAAAAATAAACATTAAAAAATATTTACAGAAGAAATAATAGCAGTTTTCAAACTGATTCATAAAATGAAATAGGAAGTATTTCATAACTCATTTTATGAGGCCAGTATTTTTCTGATACCAAAGACATCACAATAAAAGGAAATCTACTAATTGTTCTTTCTCAGAAACAGAGCCACAAAAATACTTGACAGAATTTTAGCAAACTAAATCCAGCAACATGAGAAAGGATTTGGAATCATAACCAAGCAGGATTTACCCCAGAAATAACAAGTGTGGCTTAATATCTGAAAATCAATTAAATATAATATCTCATAATAATTAGTAGAATAAAGTAGAGGTCAGTAGACTTTCTGAACAGGGCCAGATAAGGAAATATTTTTAGGGCTTCATTGGCCATACAGTCTCTGTCACAGCACCCAACCCTGCCAATATGTTTTACAAAGGCAGCCATAGAGTATACATAAACAATTAAGCATAATGTGCTCCAATAAAGCTTTATTTCTGTACAATGAGATTTGAATTTCAGGTAAGTTTCACATGTCACAAGATCTTTGAAAAATTTTTTTCAACCCTTTGAAAACATCAAAACCATTCTTGACTTGTGAGCCATATAAAAACAGGCAGCTGGTGAGATTTACTGCCCCTTGGAATAAAGGACAGGAACTACATGATCATCTCAGTGTGTGGTGGCCTCTAAAATGGCCCCCAAATAACCCCTGACTCCTAGTACTCACACCCTTATGTAATCTTTCCCCATGAACGTGGACTGGACCTAGTGACTCATTTCTAACAATAGAATACTGCAAAAGAGATTGGATGTCACTTTGGAGGTTAAGTACCAAAGAGTGTGATTCTGTCTTGCTCTGCTTTCTCTCAGGGCTGTGGCTCTGGAGGAAGCAGCCTGCCCTGTTGTGAGTAGCTCTGTGGAGAGGTCCATGTAGCAAGGAACTTAAGGTGTGGCCAGCAGCCAGCAAGGACCTGAAACCTATCAAAAACCAAATGAGTGAGCTTGGAATTGGATCTGCTGAGGTCTGCCAACAGCCACCTAAAATAAGCTTGGAACAGAATTTGCACCCAGTTAACCTTTGAGATGAATGCAACTGTGACCAAGACCTTAATTGCAGCCTGTGAGACATCCTGAGTCAGAGGCACCCTGCTAAAGCTGCCTGTGCCTGTATTCCTGACCCACAAAAACCATGCGATAATAAATGTTGTTTTAAGCTGCTCGGTTTGGGGAGTAATTTGTTAAGTAATAGTAGATAATTAATACATCATCGGATACAGAAAAAAAATACATGGCAAATCCAACACCTATTTGTGATAAAAAAAATTCTCAACAAACTAGAAATAGAAGGGAGTTTACTCAATCTGATCAAAACCATCTATGAAAAACCTGCTGCTAACATCATACTTAATGATGAAAGACTTTACCCTAAGGTCAAGACCAAGGTAAAGATGTTCCATGTCCCCATTTCTGCCAACATTCTGTTGGAGATTCTAGCCAATGCAGTAAGCTTGAAAGAAGAACAAGAAAGAAAGAAAAGAAAGAAAGAAAGAGAGGAAGGAAGGAAGGAAGGAAGGAAGGAAGGAAGGAAGGAAGGAAGGAAGGAAGGAAAGAAAACTGACAGGAAAGAAGTAGACCGTGTTTATTCACAGATAACATAATTCTAAAAGAAGTGCTTGAAAACAGCAAAACATTACTGAAAGAAATTAAACACCTGTATTAAAAGTATACAGAGAACTCTTACAATCAATAATAAGGCAATCCAGTTAAAGATTGGGCTAAACATTTGGGTAGATTTTCACCAAGGAAAGAGATGAATGGCTAATAAGCACAGGAAAGGGTGTTTGTTGCACAATTGCACAATAAAACCACAGTGGGATTACAATCTATACCCCCTAACATGACTATAATGAAAAAGAGAGTGCCAAGTATTGGCAAAGATGTGGAGAAACTGGGGCATTCATGCATTGCTGGTAGAAATGTAAAATAGTACAGCCACTTTGGAAAATAGTGTGGTGGTTTCTTAAAAAGTCAAACATAAGCATAGTGTAGGACCTAGCAATGCTAATCCTAGGCATCTACCCGGAAAAAATGGAAACACAGGTCCATACAAAGACCTAAGACACATATCTGCCAAATAGAATGTACAACTCTTATTTGGGTCCTAATTTGAACAGGTCACGTTGACGAAGGCATTTATAAGACAATTAGGGAGACTTGGACAGTCAGGTTATCAGATATTAAGGAATTAAAGTCATTATCCGTTAGAAAGGTGTCCTGAAATATTTACAGGTGAAATAGTCTGGGATTTGCTTTAATTTTTAAATTTTTTTTAAACGTTTATTTATTTTTGAGACAGAGAGAGACAGCATGAACAGGGAAGGGTCAAAGAGAGAGGGAGACACAGAATCTGAAATAGGTTCCAGTCTCTGAGCTGTCAGCACAGAGCCCGATGCGGGGCTCGAACTCACAGACCGTGAGATCATGACCTGAGCCGAAGTCGGACTGCTTAACCGACTGAGCCACCCAGGCGCCCCTGGGATTTGCTTTAAAATACTGAAACAAAAAGCAGAGGAAAATAGATGAAATAGAAATAGTAGAATGTTAATAAATGTCAAAGCTTAATGATGGTACAAGTGCATTCTGTATTCACTCTTGTGTATATTTGAAATTTTCCATAAGAAGTTAGAAAAATTAAACTGAGAACTTGACTACTGTGGAAAAAGAGCCTTTAAGAAATTCATAAAGGGGGGGGGAAGAAATTCATAAAGGGGCACCTGGCTGGTCAGTCAGTAGAACATGTGACTCTTGATCTGAGGGTCATGAGGTCAAGCCCCACATTGAGGGAAGAGATTACTTTTTCAAAAAAACATAAAGGCAAGTAGGTAATAATATTACATAACTTAGCTTGTTTGAGCCCAATACTGGTCCTTTACAGTTGCAAAAATCCAGCCATTTCATACTGCCATGTAAAAGGTTATCTTAAGCAGAGATTTAAGTGAAAGAGCAGAGACAGAGCTTTCAGTCTTCATGTTGCACCACTTGCTGGCAAGTACTAGCTAGCTTTCTGGTATTTCTGTATTTGCAAAATGCATATAGGTCTCTTATCAGCACAGAGTAGTTTGCTGTTAAACATTTCCAAATGAGAATCAAGCACCATGATACCCTCATGCAAACGCTCATACACAGCACAGCCTTTCTTCTTTGCGAATGGCACCTGCCTCTTCCTCAGCATGAAAGATCCCAGGATTTACAGCTGCTTTTATTTGGGGTATGGAAATTTTATAGTTCTTATGTACAGACACATGTTTAATGAGAATCGTGCATGATTTACTAAAGATGCGTTCCTATTTATTCATTATTTTCTCCTTTTTCCATTTTTCAGTACATGTACTAGCCTTAGCAAGTTCTGTTCCAAACTCAGGCACCTTGACTTGGCTTCCTGTACATCAATAACAAACATGTCTCTTAAAGCTCTGAGGTAAATGTCTTCTACCAAGAATGTCCAATAATCAGAACAAATATACTTATTTTTTATTTCAAATAACTGAATTAAATTGGAATTGAAGGAAACTATGTTTTATGGATATGTACTATAGTTCAGAATAGATTTTTTGTTTTATCACTTGCCCAAATTACAGGACACATCCAGGTGAAATGACTAGAGGTAACTAGGATTTCTGAACAGACTGGCACAACTTCTACATGAATGATTTGATTTTTATGAGGGCTTGATTCCCGCCCCCCCCCCCCAAATGCCACATATCATTATAGCTTAGTGGCTTAGTGATTAAAGCAGCACTCTGGAGCCAGGTGATTAACCAAGTACTTCAAACAAATACAACCCTCCTGAGTTGTTCCTTTCTATCTCATAGTGCTGTTAGGATTAAACAGTATTATTATTATTTGATAGTATTAGGCCAAATCGTGTAAAGTTGCCAGTATTTAACAACTTTTGTCTTATAAAAATGACGGCCTCATATAGTTCAACCAAATATATATAAAGCGCTTAGCAGAGTTTCTGGCATACAGTAAGCGCTTGATAAGTTTTGTTTTAATGTTAATGTATTTTTAAAGTACATTACAGAAAATGTACCTTAGAAGGAAGGTGAAATGCTCATTCTCTTTGTAACTTTACTTTTTTATCAGCCTTTTATAAATAATTATAGCCCCATGTATTGGTTATGTTCATGAATAGTAAAAATTAAGCTATTAAAAGAAATGTAGATTTAGTTGAGTGTAAGTAATCTAAAAATATGACTTCCTCTAGACTTTTCCTTATGAATATTGAATATATGCATTTAAAGCCATTTGCCATGTAGAATGATAAATAGGATAATATAACAACACTTACAGTTTACAAAATATTTTCACATAAATGATTTCATTTATTTCAAAACCTTGTGGGGCAGATAGGACACACACTTCATAGTTAAGAAAGTCTTAAAACATTTTTTAATGCCAGGTACTGTGATTTAACCATAAGATGTAAGTAAATAAGGTATCGTTGCTGCCCTTAAGCTGCTCAGAGCCTAGTGGGAGAAAAAAATAAACAGTATGATAAGTTCTGTTATACAAGTGAGTGCATCCATTTGAGGAGAACATAGGAGGGGCTATGGCTGATCTTAGATTAAGAGGAGTTCAGGCTGGTTTCCTAAAGTGACTTGCCTGAAGTCACACTATTTAATGCTGAAGAATGAACTTGAACCAAGATCCTCTGCCTTCGTTTTATAAAACAATTAAAGCAGTATTTTCCTAAGAATGTCCTAGAACTTGAGATTCTTCCATAGTTCAAGTGAGAAATGAAAGACGAAACTAATATTTGATATAAGGCAGAGATCGAACACAATATATCCTAAATTCAGCCTGTGGAAGCAGTACTCCAGATACTTCACAGATAAGGAAAATTTATAGATCTTTTGTATTTTTTACATAAAAATGTAAATATCCTCATTATTACTTTGATAAGTAATAGAATTATTTGATAAAGAATCTGAATCTAAACTCTTCACTAATTACTCTGTTAACTTGAACAGGTCACTTAATTCCCATTTACTTTCCAGATCTTTTAAAGATGTGATAAGTGCAAAAAGAATATGTTTGGAAAGGATAAACCTCCATAACGGTCTAACATATCTGAAAAACAATATTGTGCTTTGTGCTTACTAGTTTAGCTGGATTTAAGAGAGCCCCTGTAGTGATATAGTCCCACGTGAACACCACAAGTGTTGATAAATATGCTTTGTTGTTTTTGTTGTTGTTGTTGTTGTTGTTGTTGTTGTTGGTTGACTATATTCTAAATCTATGTTAAGTAAATATATTCTTAGGGGAGAACATGGGACTGTAGCCATTCCCTGACTAAATAGCCAATAAAATGAGACTTTGGTACCTTTGGAATTGGGTTTAGTCATATGTTTGTTTCATTTTGTTTTGTCCTAAGTGAGGGATGTCCACTGTTGGAGCAATTAAACATTTCCTGGTGTGACCAAGTAACCAAGGATGGCATCCAAGCACTAGTGAGAGGCTGTGGGGGTCTCAAGGCCTTATTCTTAAAAGGCTGCACACAGGTAATACTCCATGTAGTGCTTGTGAATGTTAGAAGAACCATGGACTTTGTAGGCAGTCCAAAGATACTGGCTTGAGGAACATGTAATTGTATATTATTGGCCAAAGATACATACTTACCAAATACTAAAATGTTTTCCTTAGAGTAAAAAAACCTAAGAATTAACATCTGACCAAAGAAATTTATGAGGGGAGGCAAGATGAGGAGAAAAAATCACACCACGCATCCACCTCAGGCAAGAAGGGTCTCTTGCAACTTAATCTGAAAAGGAAACTTGCCATGTTGTCATTGTCTGAGACCTTAAACTGGAGAGGCAAAGAAGCCAGCTTAGTTAGCAATTTCGCTGGTTGTTTAACTACCAGGTTAAATGTGCCAGATATACAGAACCTACATTTTATAGTGTTGATGTTTACTTCCTGCCAGTCACATTACAAATCCCAACATATTTTGTCATTAAAAATTTTTGCTATCTTCATATTTTACTGTGGAAAAAAAATAAGGAATTGACATGGCAGTGTCTGGAAGGAAATAATCAAAAGTGAGTTTAGAAGTGATTGACAAAGTAAGGCTAGGCTCTTAAGAAATTATTTTACTAATGCTTACTGAAACCATACCTTGGATGCCGTTAAAAGTGCCCTTACTCTTTGACCATGATGGGACGAGTTCCATTGTTTGAAACAGAGCGTTGAAAGTGAGACTGCCTTAAAACAACAGCTTGAGCTTCTGGTTATTTATGGAATCCTGGAAAATATTGATTGGAATGCACCATTATACATTATAATCAATTACTTGCCATCTGTTCTCAGCACTGTACACATGGCACTGATCTTCCAGCAGCAGATAAACCGGATTCCTTTCTCAGCTCCTGCTCCCAAAAAGTTTGTTTTTAAAAAACTTTATATAGGAAGCATAGAAGTGTGAAAATTATTTTAGCTTCATAATCCCTGAACAAAATGCTGTGAGGCATATTTAATTTATCAGAAGAAAAATCCATAAACATTAGGCAGTGTTTATTTTATCTTTTCCTTGATTTGGTGATCATATGAATTTGATGTGGTTGGAACTGATGAAAAATACTGATAACCATACTAATGATATGAAGTCCACCTTTCTGTGATCACAGGTCATTGTTTCTGATTCATTGTTCTTTGAAATTTGGTTGGCTGTATTTAGAATGTATTAATGAATGTATACATTCCTAAATCTTTATCCCTTGAAACAATGGTAGTAATCATATTTTCTCTTTTTAATCTTTCTAGCTAGAAGACGAAGCTCTCAAGTACATAGGTGCACACTGTCCTGAACTGGTGACTTTGAACTTGCAGACTTGTTTAGTAAGCAGTCCTTCCCACAATTCTTTTGTATTAGTAATTCATATCAGTAATATTGTAAGAGCTTTAGTCATCAAGACCAGTGGTTATTCTACTTCAATCCTGGGGACACTGTAAACACACAGATGATTCTTTGCATGTTTAACAATAGTCACTCCTGAGGGTTTTAACAGAGATAATATAGAAGGTAGCTCTTGCAGACTTCCAAATAAGCTAACTGTAACTCCACCCCTTTTCTTTTTTTCTTTTCAAAGTGAATTATTCACAAACTTCAGTACTTAAAATATTTTTGGTAAATTAATTGCAGTCAGATCAATTAACATCTATCATTGGGTCATAACTGTTGGGAACCACTGATCCAAACAGATGACAAGCAAAATGTACTCTTTAAATTTTTAAATTTTTTTTTTTCAACATTTTTTATTTATTTTTGGGACAGAGAGAGACAGAGCATGAACGGGGGAGGGGCAGAGAGAGAGGGAGACACAGAATCGGAAACAGGCTCCAGGCTCCGAGCCATCAGCCCAGAGCCTGACGCGGGGCTCGAACTCACGGACCGCGAGATCGTGACCTGGCTGAAGTCGGACGCTTAACCGACTGCGCCACCCAGGCGCCCCTAAATTTTTAATTTCCAAGTAGTATTCGTAGTTCACATTTGGCTTGTTTAGACTATCAGCTTTTTTTGTGTCTATCCCCAAACCCCTGCATTTTGCTCAGAGAATTTGCTGAAACCACTCAGGTTCCTACAACATTGACAGTACATATTTAGCTTTTCTCTCTTGCCTGGAAAATTACATATATGTGTTGCCTTGGAATGAGAGCCTCTCATTGCAATGAAAAAGAGTTGATGAGGGCTTTCCTTGTTTTTACTAAAACTTCTTCTCATTATACCCTTCTCTTGTTTGATTACCTGAAACTTGAGAGCATAGTGATTGTTTAGTTTAAAGGTGACACATAAAGGGCCATATTTTGTGCAAGTGAAGCAACCTCCCCTTTCAAGCCCTTAAGGGATGGTTCTGATAATGATCTGCTCAGGAGGCTCCTGAAGACTGAGTTAAAGGAATAACATTCCTTTTAATTCTGATCACCCCTTCCTTTTAATTCTGACTGTCATAGTTACTGTAGAATTTGCCTAATTTCATTTATGAAACCAAAATATTTGGCCTGACAGGAAGAGCTTATACAACTGTTGTAAACATGAAACCATCACCTTACCGTGATAGGAAGAAACTGTTCTTAGGCATCTTCAGATTCTGTTTGTACACACAGATACACAGAGATACACTCCATAGATATTTGTGTGGATATATGTTACACACACATTCACACAACCATATAAATACATACCCTACCTACCATTTGCTGTTTTAGTTTCACTTCCTTTATCCTTTCAGCAGACAGAAAGTGCAGGTGGTAAGCGTAAAGAACCAGTTCTGTCATCAGTTTATTTTACTCTTTCCCTTCACCCAGGTCTTAGGGCATAAGTCATCCCTTCCGTAGAATGTGATGAAATGATTCTCATTCCTAAGACTTCATGTGTCTGCCCAAAACTGTTGAAGTGACCAAAGTACATTCTTGAGCCATTCTCTTTTTCTGGACTAATTTGAAAACATAAAAGTTTAGTAAATTCTATTCTTTCTAAAATTTGAAGTATTGGTACATACGACTTTCCTCAACTTTCTTCCCCAGTAATCCCTTATAGATTTTAAAACATTAAGAAGGAAAAGGCAGCACAGCCCTATAAAACTTTCCTAATATTATATGACACAAGTTCTCATTGGCCTGGTAAATATGCATGTTTATCGATTGCTGTTTCCCCTTTACATTTCAATTATCCTTGTTTAGTAATAACATACATCACACTTGTATGAAAGTTACTTCCACATGTGTTGATCTTCATTAATTTATCCTCAAGATAAATCTTATATCTGCCTTAGCATCCATTTTTTATCTGTATCTTGTTTCAATTATGCAATATTGAGAATATACTGATTTAAGCAGTGAATATTTAAAGCATGATTTTTTTTTTCAGTTGTCCTGGCAACCTAAGGACACTGACTGAACAGAGATGACAGGAGAGCTTTATTCTGAGGCTTATACAAAATTTGTGAAACTAACAGGACAAATTGAAGTGCTAATCATATCCTACATGTTAAGATGTTTATATATGGCATCTTTTTTTTTTTAGTGTAACATCTTGCTGTGTCCTTTTTATTTTAGAATAATTTAAAACACACAAAATTACATTTGGTTGATCACAGCTGTTTATCTCCATAAATGAGTATATTCTTTATATTATACAACTAAAATAAATACATAAATAAATGGATCTGTGGTTGATAAGAAGTTGCAACTGTCATCCATAGGTTGTTTTATTTTTTCAGTAACTTAATATCAGTGTCAATTTTGAACTTATAAATACATTTATACTGCTGTGCTTGCCTGTTTTCTAGGTTTTAAAGTCGTGTAATTGAATCTACCCCACGATGTACCTCATGCTGTTCCCAATCCCGCTAGGTTACAAGAATCCCATTATAGCTTCCTCCTTTTACACCAAAAATGAGCACTGGGGCGCCTAGCTGGCTCAGTCAGTAGAGCATATAACTCTTGATCGCGGGGTCGTGAGTTCAAGCCCCACGTTGGGCATGGAGCCTACTTAAAATAAATTAAAATGAAAAAAATGAGCACAGATTCTCTCACAAACTAAATCAAAAGGAACTGAGAAGGAGAAACAAAGCATATTCATTTTCTTTTAGGTCTACTACCTAATTAATATCAAGCTCTATTTTATTTCTTTTTGGTGCTTATTTTCAGAGGTAACATTTTTTTCCTTTTCTTCTGCTAAATAACTAATATCTATGGGATTTTTTTGCTCTTATTTATTTATTTATTTATTTTTTTAGCAAATCACAGATGAAGGTCTCATTACTATATGCAGAGGGTGCCATAAGTTACAGTCCCTCTGTGCCTCCGGCTGCTCCAACATCACAGATGCCATCCTGAATGCTCTAGGTCAGAACTGTCCACGGCTTAGGTAAACATTTCTTGTTTAGCTCAAAAAATCATGGGAAAGGAACAAAGGCCTTCTTCACCCAAATTTATTTCTTTGGAACTTTGAGATTTTTAAGGTAGACACTACAAGGCTAACCTTTTAGATGCCCAGCTACTTGCTTTGTACCTCATTCGATTACATGTAATTGGCCTAAACCAAAGGGTAATAGTCCCCATTTCCTACTTCTTGCTATCTAGACTAGAAAAAAAAAAAAAAATAACATTTTATTTCATTACTTGTCTTATTAAACTTTCATATAATTCATTTCTAAAGAAAGTTTTTAAAGGCCTACCCCTGCGGTTATTTGTATTGTGGTAATGATGCCCGGTACATAGAAGAAAGTATTTTTTAAAAAAGCCCTACAGGAAAACTTCCTTTGTGCTCAAGATCTTTTAGAGCAAGCTTATTTCTCTATGGTTCCTCCTTTCTGCCAAAATATAGGATTGGCTGAATATTTACTAAGAATGCTGTTAGCATACACATGGTTTCAAACCCATACTGATTTTGTAAAAGCCCACAACACACTGTTTCATAATAAATAGGGATTATCCCCATATACCTGTTTTGTTTTTAAAACAAAACTTTTATTTTACTTATATGTTAGACATGTTGACCATTGTTGTAAGGGATTTACAAATATTAATTCGTTTAATCCACAGAATACCATATTAGTACTGTTACTGTCTCCATAATATAGATGAGAAAACTGAAGCCCGGAGAGGTCAGATAACCTGTTCAAGGTCTCACAGCTAGTGAGTTCAAGAGCAAGATTCAAACCCAGGCAGCCTGGCTCCAGAACCCAGAAAACCTCTTGTCTTACATATAATAATCATTGTAAACCAATATAACTTCATTAAAGCTTTTTGTAGTCACCTGGCCAGGAGCCTGATCATCATTATTGAAAGAAAATTTGCCTAGATTATCAAAATTCCTTGATAGATCATAGACTTGGTCAGAATTAATAATGTTAGAGGCCTGGAGCTAAGGAGGTAGCCAAACTTCTCCCTAAAAATCTTACACTTTACCTTTTTCTCATTTGAAGAGAGGACTGTTCAGCTCCTTATTACTTCATGGCTTATTTTATTGTTCAAATAGAAAAGCTCTCAAATATGATAATCAAAAGTTCAGTCAGATCATGTTTTCCCATTAGATATATATAGCATTCATTTCTTATTGATTTTTGATAATGATTTCTTATACTGTGGCTTTATTTGTTTCAACTTACGTAGTAAGTAATTTGTAAGCAGACATAAAAATATTCTTTGGTACGGTCACACAGACACCACCAAAGTTTTCACAGAAAGGAGCTACTTTTGATTCCCCAGTCCTGTGGTTGGCATTTAGGTTGGTGTTTAGCAGTTCCTGAGTAGGAGAGTTGTCTGCCAGCTCAGTTTCCCCCTCCTCTGGGCCTCCCCGGGAGCCTGTGGGAGGAGGCAAGAAGCTTAAGGGTATTTTTTCATAAGTATGGAATTTCATACTTGGTACAGGCCTGTAATTAACCAGTCCCTTCATAGAATTTTTAAAAGCTATTTAAATCTGAGTGAACCTACATGTAAAATAGGGAAAGAATAATTTACTTGAGCAACAGATTAATTGAAACAGAGTATTTATCTCCATTTCCTTTGTTTTCTAGGAGCAGGCTGCCCTCTGGGGGTAAGCAGTATGCCATCAAGAAGGCTTTTAAATGCATTTTTCATGCATTTTGGCATTAACTACAAGCTTCTATTATATTCTTCTGATTGCATCACCCTGAATTGTGGTATTTACAGGACCACTTTATGATGACTCCATGAAAATGAGTGGCAAGATCTGTATACAGACTTGCTTAGCTGTTAATGTCACTATAGTATGCAGTGCCTAGGGAATAGGAGGTTGTTTTCTTAAATTCTTGCTGTTTTTAATAAACCCAGTTTTCAGGGAACAAGGGCTTGACTTTCACTTTTTTTTTTTTTTTTTTTATAACAGAATATTAGAAGTGGCAAGGTGTTCTCAATTAACAGACGTAGGCTTTACCACTCTGGCTAGGGTAAGTATTTTCTCCAGGTTCTGTAGGTTTGGTTTGGGATTTTTCTTTCAGAGGAGTGAACAATGAGGGAAAAGTAGAAAGGCAGCAGAATTGAGGGTGTGGGATGTGAGGGAACTTCTCTGTGGCTGGTGTTCCTGAGCATTCTCATGCTGCAGCTATAGGCCTGTGGAATACAAACTGCTCTGGAAATACAAACGTGCGTTGGAGGACATGATGCTCCTTCATGAGACTTGATTTGTCACATTTTCATTAGATGGTAAACTAAGCAGGGACTTTCTCATGCTTCATGAAAGAAATTCTTGGTTACTTGGTATGCGACTGGTGGGTGAGAGTGTTGTTGAAAGAGATGGATAAGCCCAATTTTAAATGGAGGTGGCTTAAGATTTTTTGTGTTCTCCAGAATATGTTAATCCTTGGAATGGTTTATAAATCACTGTATGTATAATAATAGCATTTAAAATTATATTGTCTTTAACCAGTATAATGGAACATGGGGAGGGACCTTTGCTTTCAGGCAGATTGATGGAACATTAATTGGTCGGGGGCAACATATGGCATAACTAAATCGGGACATAAAGCTTACCTTTCAGTCTTCCAAAGAAAATAATTTTCATCAAATTATTTATGGTTAGAAGGCTCTGTACTAGCTTGGTATTAATGTTCAGGGAATTTATTCCCGTGGACTTGTAAGGTGTTAGATACTTTAAATGTAGAATAATTAAGAAATTTCACTGTGATCGAGGCCTTTTAAAATGTGTAATTAATGGAATAAGGCAGAAAGTGTCATTAGAATGACACCTCTGAGTTATAGGAAGTTGTTATAGGAATAACTCTGAAAGTTAAGATTTTGTCGGTGTATTTAATACTACTTCTGGCCTTAAATTTTCCCATGTTTTAAATGTTTGAGCTATAATGTTTGGTTTTGTATTTTGTAGAATTGCCATGAGCTCGAAAAGATGGACCTGGAAGAGTGTGTTCAGGTAAGAATGTGGATTTTTACTCAGAAATGCAGTATGATAGAAACTTACATAATATGTGCACAGCAGAACTTTCAGTTCCTTACCCTAATGTCATGGAGTGCCTGCAGCATTGCTGACTCTCCATTTATTGTGGTGTCCTCTAGGCATACCAGGCAGAGGTACTGTGGTATATGTGGTAAAGAACTAGAAAAATACATGCCATCAATATAGTTACCAGTGGAAAGAAAGAAGACCCAAGTATTCAGGCCATAAAGATGTTAAAATGTTTCCTTAGACCTACAGGGTTGTAATTCTAGTAAATAATTAAAGCTCCCATCACATTGGCAATATAGCACTGCCTTTTTTTTTTTTTTTTTTTTTTT